AAAAAACAAATTATGCTCATAATAACATGAATAAAAATTAAATGCATAGTAATACATTTATACTTGGAACGATTTATACTAGTACAGTATGTAAACTTGTACATAGGGAAGAATGAAATATTGTTGAAAGAAATTGAAGATGACCCTGAAACATAGAAAGACATCTTGTGTTCATGGATTAGAAGACATACTGTTAAGATAGCAATATTCCTCAGAACAACCTACAGAATCAATGAAATCCCTATCAAGAAACCAACAGTCTTTTTTTAGGGCTGAAATTGAAAAGCTGATAGCAAAATTTTGTAGAGTTGCAAGAGACTACCCTCAAATAGCAAAAAACTGTGAAAAACACTGAGGGCTCACATTTTCTGTTTTTATGAATTATGTGATCATAATAATAAAAAATTTGGTACTCATGTAAAAATAAATGCAGACCAATGGGATAGAATAAAGAGTCCAAAATAAACCCTATACATTTGTGGTCAATTGCTTTACAAAAATGCCAAGACAATTCACTGGGGAAAGGATAGTCTTTTCAGAGCTGGGTGTGGTGGTGCATGCCTGTAATCCCAGGACTCGGGGTGCTGAGGCAGAAGGATTGTTGTGAATTCTAGATCAGCCTGGGCTACAAAGTGAGCTCAAGGTAAGCCTGAACCTCATAGTGAGACCCTGTTTCAAAAAGACAGAAAAAAAAGAATAAGTCTTTTCAAAATCTTGTACTTGGACAGTGGAATGGAATGGCTACATACAAAAACTCTAACGCTCAAATTCTGCCTTAACAACTGTCTGGGTTACTTTTATTTTGTTGCTGGGACAAAACACCCAATGTTCAAAATGAAGGAAAGAAAGGTATATTCAGCTCACAGTTTGTAGAGGTTTCAGTTCATAATCAGCTGGCTCCAAGCAGGGTGGCATGGCAATGGGACAACACTTCAAGGCAGGAAACGCAGCCAGGACAAAAGGTGGAGGAGAGCAAGCCTCTTTTCCTCCTTTATACTGTACACAGGATACTCCGCCCCCCCCCACCTGCAGGGCAAGTGTAGCACTCACAAAGCATCCTTGCCCTCCTCTTGCACAGGATGAGGATATTTACAAAGTAAGGACCCTGGATCCCTGAGGAGTCTCTTACTTAAATTTCTAAACTTCTCAAGATGACACAGTGTATCAACCATAACAACAACTATACAAAAATAGCCTATTAATGGGATACTGGTAACCCCACATAATCTAAAGAGGCCTGAAGAAATTATTCTTGTTCAGGGATTATTGTTTATCTAGGGGCGTACAGATGTCAGCAACTGCTTGTCATATTGTTCTAATAATTTCACAGAGACATCTTGGGACACAAACAACTTTAAGCAGCCTATGTCCAAAATCACACTCTATTTTATGTGTCTAACCCTAACAAGAACACCTGAACTTTTGGGTTTTATTTCAAATTCTTACCACTTCACTGGGCAGATGAAGCCATTTTATCCTGCTGACTAATAGCAACAGGTAACTAGTAATAACCTATTCTAGCTAACCTCTCAAGCATAGGAACCACTGCCTTCCACACCAACATTGGAATGTTTCTGGAATTCTTAGATTCTATATCACTCTGCCCATTAAAAGTAGAGAAAGAACTCCATAAACATTTAACTCTTGTCAGCCTTCTTTTTGACTTCCATAATTGGAGACATGCATATACAAGAGCAATTGAAATGCTCACAGCAGTTCTTTAACAGAAATCACTTATATATAGCAAACCATGATTTAAAAAACTCACTTTAAGTGATTTCAAAATGTAAGTTACTTTTCTGGATACATATATGCACACTTTTCATGCTGAGATAAATGCCTTTGATAATAGCCAGAGAGCTTCTCTTCAACTTATCCAACTCAGAGGGTTCAGAGCTGCTACATTCAATGATAAACTTGTACTCTTGAGCATGGCTGTGGTTCCATCTTTTGGACATCCTGAGACTCATTATGAATAGCTGTCAAGAATAGCTATAAAGAAAGCCTCTATATGTCAGTTAGGCACTCTGTTGAGCTGAATAATGACCCCCAAAAGTCCATATTCACCTGGGATCTGAGAATATAACTTTATTTGAAATGGGATCTTTCCAAATGTAATTAGTTAAATTAAAATGATATCATGTTGGATTAAAGCAGGCCCTACATCCAATAGACAGGTGTCTTTATACAGATAGCAAAAGCAGAAACATATAGGGAAGAAGGCCATGGCGTGACAGAAGCAGCAGTCACCAGAAACTGGAAGGAGGAAGGAAAGATCCCTTTCTAGAGTTTTCAGAGGAATTTTGACCCTATGAACACTTTGATTACAGACCTCTAGCTTCCAGAGCTCAAAGATCACATTTCACTAGTTTTAGGTCACCTGGCTTATAGTAATCTTTTACCACAGCCCTAGAAAACTAGTACTGACACAATGCTGAGTGCTTATTTCTTTGTTCACACTGTTTTACTGGTTCTTCACAGAATCTTATGTATTATTAATTGATTTGGAAATAAAAGAAGTAGAGCCCAAAGAGTGTGAGATACCTGACCAATGTCACCCAGCTCATAATGCAAAGAGCTGGGATTCAAACCCAGCTGGTTTCTCCCTCCACGGCCTGCTCATCCTGCCCTCTGTCTCATTTAAGCCATGGGATGATCATTCCCTTCTATATACTAGTGTTCTGAAAAGAATCTGGTGATTTATTGGAATCTTCTGGTCCCAGGCTGTATTCTCAAATGACTGTTGTAGAGTGGGTGTAAGAACCAACAACAGAGAACTGCTTAATAGTTTCTTCCTTGATCAGCATCTTGCAACTAGTATTACTTTTTAAAACCTATATATCTCATTCTGATGACTTATTCATTTACAGAAAGCTTATTTGTCAAAATTGTTTCCTGAACTGCTCCTTTCTCTACCCGTTTATCCTGTGCTTATGAAGATAGCGACATCTACTGGCCAATCATTTGAGCTGCAGCCAAAATCCTTAGGAGGGTATTGCTAGGTCCTTCAGTAAGACACAGTCACCACTGCATGGCAGTGTACATTCAGGATTTGATCACTTCCCAGAATCCAACTCATCAGCTGGCCTTTTGAGCCTATTTTATATCAAACCACAACTTTCTACCACTAGATTCTAAAGGCCCATATTCTTCTCGTTACAGAAAATGTATTTAGTCCATTTCCAAGAGTTGCCAAAGTCTTAATAGATTCAGCATTGATTAAAAGTCCAGGTCCAATGTTATCTGTGAGGTGCAAGGCAATTTTTAGGTGTGACTCTCCTTAAAAATTAAAAACCAAACTGGATGTGGTTGCACATGCATTTGATCCTAGCACTCAGGAGCCTGAGGCATGAGGATTGCCTTAAATTCGAAGCTACATAAATGAATTCAAAACCAGTCTGCACTACATAGTGAGACCTTGTCTCAAAAACAAAAACTAAAACAAAGACTAAAAACCAAATTAACATACTTCCAACATAGACATACATACACTATGGGACAGACATACAGTAAATATTTCCATTTTGAACAGCAAAAATAAGAAAACAGCAAGCAAAAATCAGACCAAAGCAAGACTGAAAGGCAGTAGGGCACATATTAAATTCTGTAGCTCCGTGTCTTGCATCTAGGGCAGATGGTCCATGGTATGGTCTTCAATGTGCATGGGCAGGACCACTGAAAAGCCTGCTGGCTGCAACCCATATTGCACCTCATTTGGGCTGGCTTTGCTTACTGTACGTAGCTTCTGCAGCTTTTCTTGGCAGATGTCCCATGTTCATGTCATTTCCAAGTTCCTAATTTCTCCATTACATCTCCAGTTTCATTCTCAGATATTAATTCACCTTTCTCCTATTCTCCTTTAAGTTGCAGGTGTATTTTTTTTCAGTGATGGGAAAGTGATTAATATGGAAGGATAATACTAATACCAGAGATATGGGATCATTACTGTGACTATAACTTGACAGCCAAGAAGCCTTTGGAATTCCTTTGTATGTGTGAAGAAGTCCTAGATTTCTGTAAACAGCTTGATGAGTGATTCTGGTTAGAGTGTAAAGGGCCATAATGCTGACAGAAATACAGATAGTAAAGCCATGGTTCAAGAGTTTTCAGGTTAAAACAAGGGCTCTATTGGAAGCTGGACAAAATGCCATGTGTGTTTTAGCCTGGCAAAGAATTTGTCTATATTTTGCCCATGTGCTAAGATTTTGTGTGAGGTTGAACTTAAAGGCAGAAGAGTAATTTTGTTGAGGGAATTTCAAGGAAGTCCCATATTCAGACTGTGGCATGCATGGGCACTGCTGGCTGCTTTTAGCCAGATTTATAGTGAGAATTCAGAAGTCAAGTCAGAAGATGTGAAAAGTTTTCCATTTTCCAAAAAGGAAGCATCTGCAAAGTTGGAGCCAATGAGAGTGTGGTTCATAAAAAGATCAGCACCATTGAAAATAAGCCAAACAGTTCACACCAGGACAATAAGAAAGATATCCTGAAAGCATCTGAGTAAATAGCCAGACTCTACTCATCGTAGCCTCAAGGGTATAAAACGGTAAACTCTGAAACACTTTGCTTTGAGAATATAGCCCTTTGATGACCTGCTCATTTGGGGCCACTTAAGGAAGTGTTTCCCTAAATTCATCCATCCAAGCATTCGGAGGCCGCTGTAGCAATGGTCCAATGGGTCCTAGTTACTCCTCAAGCTTGTGGAAGATCTTGGTGTAGCCCATGTTGTGCTGATTTTTCAACCATGAAGAACATAAGAGTTATGGGGTCATGGAGGCTTCCACTCAGCTTTTAGAGGAAGACCTGGGAGGCCAGAAAATGCATCTTTGAGAGGGCAATGTATAAAGTCATGGGAATAAAGCCATATGTGCAGCAGAGACCCCAGGAATTTGGAGCTGCCAGAAATGTCTGCTGAGGAAAGTTGCAAGCAATAAGCATACTCAACAAAAGAGAGGCCTTGTAGTATGTAAACAGAAAGACTACAGGAGCAGGGGTGCCTAAGCCCTTTGGAACTCACATTGAATAATTTGCCCTAGGTGTTGGACATGAAGCTATAGAATTTAACATTTGTCCTACTAGACTTTTGCTTTGGTCGAATTTCTTTCTAGGTCCTCATCTCTCCATTTTGCAATAAGAATGCTTACTCTATGCCAGTGTGTGTTGGAAATATTTAACATTCTTTTTGACTTTTACAGGATCTCACAGCTAAGGGTTTCCTTTGAGTCACAGAGATTTTGGAGTTGGACTTTTCAGTGATCCTAGAACTGTTAAGACTTTGGTGACTCTTGGAGAGGGTATAAATGCATTTTTGCACAATAGGATTGACATGAGCCCTTTGGGGGCTAAGGACAGAATATTACGGCTTAGATCTAAAATGTCACCCCAAAGTTTCATGTATTCATAGGTGGAGCTTGATTGGAAGACTCAGATCACTGGGGCCATGATCTGAAAGGGTGAATTCTCCCTTTTCTTTCTGTTTTCTGGATGCCATGCTGTGAGCAGCTGTGCTCCGCCATGCCCTTCCATCATTCCATTTTTGCGTTGGAGCTGATCGCACCATATATGACCTGAGACCTCTGAAACTGCGATCCAAAATTAATTTTTCCACCTTTAAGATGCAGGTGTCAGCTATTTTGTCCCAGTGACAGGAAAGTGACTAACAATAGTAGTCAAGGTTAAGCTCCTGACCTACTGTATTCATCTAGGTCCCAAATTCTAATAACTCTTTCAGCTATGAACTCATCAATACACTAATGAGTTGGGGGGATATTTTAGCCCTAAACTATAGCACTCTCCATTGAAAACATTAGAAACTGATCCTCATCTCTTCTTTAAAACTTTCTCAGTTCTTTTCAAATATAAGGTTTTTTTTTTTTTTTTTTTTTGAGACAAGGGCTTATTATGTATTTCAGGCTGACCTTGAATTCACTATGTAGCCCTAGCTGGCCTTGAACTCTCTGTAATCCTCCTGCCTCAGAGTTTCAAGTGCTGAGATGACAGATGGGTGTCGCCACACCAGGCTCTTGCCAGGCTTTTAACTCAGGAATGTTTCCTAAAAGATCTGGGATTCATCTCTTTGAAATTAAATTATCAAGAAAGGTAAATCTCTGTCTCCCAGGTTCCAGGTGGAGATTGGCACTAACTTGTATCTGACTCCGATATACAAAACATATCCAAACAAATGTATTGTAGCCTTCATTTAGCCATGTAACAGATTTTTTTCTGTCTTGTAATCTCTGTAGCTGATAGCTTCTAATGTATGTCACGTTCTTGTTTAAATTGTGTTTATTATATTGTTTTCTTTACGATGTTATGGAAAGATTTTCTCCATTGGAGTAGATTTTCTTTTTAATTGCATTTTTGCAAATGTAGTACAAACAGTGACTAGAAGGATAGGTATATCAGGGGATCCTTTAAAACTGGAGGAATTAGAAAAAATGTTCAGTCATTGTTTTGCCTGACTCCATTTTGTCTTTTTAATTTGGTCCTTTGAAGTTATTTTTCCTTCTCAGCTTCATGTGGTGTTGGAAGCAGAAACTGCTGCCCAAGCTCTGGTACCATCATGAATCCATAGAACCAAACCTGCCACCAGACCCTACAATCTAATCAAGACTGCTATAAATATGCATGCTTCTTTGTTATTCCCTTTATCATTTCCCTATAAAATCCTTGGGCTGTTGTCCAGCTATAATTTCGTCATTGCCCTTATTACCTTTCAACATGTCAATATTTTAGTTTCCTATATTTGAATCCCTTATCATTTTGCTGTGAGAAAAGAGATCATTGCCTATTCTTGCCACTTATTCCAAGTGCCCAGACCAGTAAATGGCTTATAGTTAGTAGTCAACAAGTATTTACTAAGCAAAGGAGTAACTGAAGAGAAAATGGCATAATTAGGTAAGCAATGAATAAGTGGTTGCAAAGATCATCAAAGAAATGTATGGTAAGTTACTATGTACTGAGCTCTATAAAGGCAGTTCTAGTGAAAAGGATAGGTATTGAGGATCTGTAAACTTTTGCACACTCATAGGAAGCCCAATAAGATCCCTGCTACAGAGTATTGGCTGACCACTCACTGTGAGGCCAGCCCTCATGCTAAATATCATTCTGTGTGTTTTTCTTGCACAGATTTCTGCCACACTTCCCAAACCAGACTTGTAGTCCTTACACACAACATACACAGACACACACATTCTCAGGGCTCAGCCCCAAAGGAAGTTTGTCTGAGACCTTCCTATTGATTCCCTCCATTTTGATGGGAGGGCCTGTGATTTCCCCACCCCTGCCTCCTACTGGGCATAAGGCTCACGTGACCACTTGCTGCATCCTCATTGGCTGGACCAAGAACGCGATAACCCTGAAATGCGCGCCCTTCCGGCGAGGGAAGTCAACCGTTACCTTCGAACTCCCGAACTCCCGTGGTGATTCGGTGTCGTTGGGTCTCCGTAGGACTAGTCACTAGGGTTTTGTTCACACCTCACAGAGGCTGAGACAGTTCGGTCCGTTTGACCTGAGGGTGTTGAGACCCAGGAGGCCTTGTGGTCTTCTGTTGAGGGCCGCGTGCCAGCTGTGGTGACGGCGACATGTGGAGGCGTCTGAGCCGGGCTTTGGCCTTCTTCCGAAAGCGGGCGGACCCCGACGAAGGGCACGAGAGACTGCTGCCAGGTACTCCTCTGTGTGGGCTTGTTCCCCTCGAGGGAAGCATTCCTAAGAGCAGGCCCCCAGCCCTCTCTGGAGCGTGGGGCTGGGGGGCGGGTGGGAGGGCGCTGGCCGGCGTCCATCTTTTGCATGTGTGTGTCAGGGGAAGGGGATCCTCAAGAGTCCGAGGCCTCTGCCCATCCAGGCCCATCCTTCCCTTGTTGGTTCAGAATTATGTATTACTGGTTAGTTTTGGGAATCGACATAAAGGACATAGTGACAGAGAAGAGAATTTGATGCGAACCTCTAGTCTCAGCACTCTGGGAGGCAGAGACAGGAGGAGCTCAGGTTCTGTTCGAACCCAGGGCAAGTTAACCATTTAGATTCTGCCCTTCCTCGTTGTCTCCCCTCCTTCTCTACAATGTATAACATATACATTATGTCTCCACATATTATATATATTTTTTTCTTTTTCTTTATCCTTTTTTTTTTTTTTTTTTTTTTTTGCTGTACTTGGCAAGTGCTTTACCACTGGCTGAAGGGCTACATGCCCATTCTGAGGCAAGGTCTTATTAAGTTCCTCAACCATTCTCCTGAGTAGCTGGGATTAGAGGTCTCTGCCATCACGCCTGCCTAATTATTTCATTTTAAGTGGCCATTCAGTGATCTTTTTTTTCGTAGATTTAAAGAGGCACGAAACTATTGCCACTGTCCAGATATTTACCATTTTGATGGATAACAGCAACTTACCTTTTAGCTCTATTTTACTAATTGTCATTCTTAGTAGTAGACTGTGAGAGTTGTCAGTATTGCCAGGGATAGAAATAATCGATCTGAAATCTTTGCTAGTGTTAGAAAGATAGAAGGTATATATTTATACACAGAAAAACAAAAATGTTAATGATATTAATTGATATTTCAATACTATAAACAATGCTCAATTTTGTTTTAAAGGTAGAGAATATATATTTGTATGCAGAAAAAAATACCAAGAGTATGGTAAATAACAAAATGTAGTCAATACTTGTGTCCAGATATTAGAATTATGTATTACAAGAACTGTTTCCTGCTTTATGGTATGTGTTTTCTCTTCTTATTTTATAACTAACATGTATTGCTTGTATAATTAAGAAATTTAAATGAGAATAATTAGTTCCAGTAATCTAAAATATTTGTATTCTTCTCTATCTTAGATAAATTAAGCTCAAATGTGACTGTTACTTTTTAGATCTCTTCCTGTTGTAGTTATGTCTCTAATTTTATCTCATGGTCCTGGCCTCCAGATGAACTCCTGAGAGTTACAATTTTCTGCTTCATTGTCTAACTTGTGCTTATTCTTTTCTCTCTCTCTCTCCCTGCTTTGCCTCCACCTCCATTCACAAAGTAATCCCTTTCTTCTTTTTTTTCCCCACAGAAAGCGAGTCTCACCATGTTCAGGTATTTCCTTGATTTTCTCCCAATCTAATATTTTCTTTTTTCTTTCTTTATTGTTATATTTTCTCCTCTTGGGAATTTGTAAAAACCAGTTTCAAACTTTACTTATCTTTATCCTCACATGTTATTTAGATCTAGATATTTCTCATTTTATGATACTGAATTTTGTAATTAAATGGCACTGTATATTTTTTCTTTGGATTTAATACTGTGAAGGCTTTAATTATGGATGTAAAGTTAATATGTTGGGTGCAGTTTAACCAACCATGCTGCACAGGCATTGTTTTTACCTTCACCATGCATTCAAAATATATTTGCCAAGTGAAATATGTGGGCTGCTGTTGTGGGAGATTGTTTAAAATATTTCTCAAACACCAGTGGTGTCAATAGGATGGGCCAGGGATGTTTCTGCTAAGAATAATAAAGTCCTTATTCTCTGACACAAAAATTATTTGTCTTGCAAGAATCCATAGAACTGTGACAGGTGAAATTAGTGAAATTATAGTTGTTCTGATGGGGACTCTTTGGAAATCATACAAGTTCATTTTGTTGTGGTAATTTTTTTTGTCTTTTTCTTTTTATCGGTACCAGTAAATTTTATTTTGTTTGAAATAACTGTTTCTGTATCCTACAGGTGGAACCTATCTATGATCATTTTAATTACACTGGACCATCAGAACCTGAAATAAAAGTTATAATTGGTTGTGTCACCTCTATAGTGGATGGTGCTGTCTACATTAATAGGGAAAATTCCTTCTACCTAGATACTGTTTGTGAAGGTATTATTAGGCTCTTAGGAAGATATGATTATGTTTATTTAGTACAAGAGCTAATATTATGTATTTGGTACCAGTTAGCATCTCTAAATAGATGAATGCGGGGCAGGCTGGGGATCTAGTTCAGTAGTATAAGCACTTGCCTGGCAAGTGCAAGGGTTCGATCCCCAGTACATATATATATATATATATATATATATATATATATATATATATGTTAATAAGGCACTTGAAAATTAAAATGATAGATCATTGAGGGAAAAATAGATGACATTTATAAAAACATTGCTGCTGTGATTTCTTATGTGTGCACAGAAAGAACCATTATGCCTATATACATTTTCAATAAAAATGTTTAATTTCTAATTGATGAAAAAAATTCTACAACGTAAAGGATACCATTGTCTTTTTTTTCTGTTTTCAGCATACAACTAGCACTTCAAATTAAACTTGGAGATAACCTTATAGCATGTGATGTGTGTGTACACTGTTGAATTCTTTTAAGAATCAGCATACATGTTCTAAATTTTTGTGTACATCTAAAGCTGTATTGGCATGCAGCCCGGCTCACACCTGCACTCTCACCCGTGTACTTCACCACCCCTGCCAAAGGATATGCCAGCGTGGCCAGTTAAGAAATCCTGTGGGCACCGAAACAGTTGGCTGTAAAACACAATTGACACTTTTCCCCATTCGACTTTGTTAAACCAGTAGAGGAGAATTAATGGTTAAAGGATTGTAAATTTCCCTTCTGACGGGAAGATTTACCAGGTGTCTGTTTTACACATGTGCCAAGCACACTCTGCATTCAGTAGAAGGTATGTGAAGGTGTTAGAACACCAGAGGAACCTGTGAAACTGAACTGACCTCACTGCACTCTCGCTCTCCATGCTTGTTTTAGGTTTTGTGCCCTATACGGGTGACTGGTTGGAGGTCATGTATTACGCGGAGCCAGGTGCGGCACACATCAAGGCGCTCTCCGTGAAGCCCCTCAACTCTAGGCGTGTGGATCAGGTAATTTGTCTGTGTGTCACACACTTGACCTTGACATTAGTTTTGCCAATCATTCCTTTAGTGCTAACTTTGCTATCCAGGATCCTACTGGGTGTGGTTGGAAAACATGAAAATATATTCTTTGTCAAAAGAGGCCTGTTTTCTTACTGAAAAGAACAGACTTCCAAAAGTGAACAAATATACAGTAATGTAGAACATGCATACAGTTGATTTCTAAGATATGTTAATTGGCTATTAGGATGTTCTGAGATAAACAGAAAAATTTGCTTGCAAGAATGTTGTAGGAGTCGAGGACTTAGCTCAGTGGCACAAGCGTCTGCCTGAGTTTGATCCCTGGTGCCAAAAAGAAAAAAAAAAAAAAAGAATGTGGTAGGGGCAACTGGGACGGGAGGATAGGGAAAAGGAGAAAAGAAAAAAGGGAACAGATTATTTGTATATAGGTATACATATGTGTGTGTGTGTGTGTGTGTGTGTGTGTGTGTGTGTATACACACACACAAGACAGATAACTATATCAATCTCTGTAAGTTCATCAAAAAGAAGTTTGTGTTTTCATTGTTCGATTGTTTGATCATTTTTTCACATCTAAATCTTACAATCTGAACAACTACTTTTAAGATAACAATGTGCAGTATATTAGTGTTGATTCATACTATTTTTTAAAATTCTGTAATGTTTTTATCCTTTTGTTTAAAAAAAGAATGTGGTGGGGAAAGAATGAAGCGGGTTGTGGGTTGTGAGCGTCCTAGTGAAAACTGAGTAATGCCTGGGGTGGTGCAGCCTGAAAGTGAGTAGAATATACAGTGAGTGGCCATGGTGGATCAAATTTGGAGCAAGGTTTCTCACCTGAGAACAGAGGGCCTCTTCCCAGAGACTCTGACTGCACTGGGGTGAAGTGTGATCTGGAGACAGGTGTGTGTCATGACTCCAGCAGGTTGGGAATCAGTGGTACGGGTGGACTGACCTGCAGGTTATGGCCAGGGTGAGGCGGTGCAGAGCTGGTTACCATGTAGTATGCTTTTCCCCACTCATCTCCATCATTTCTCGTCACAGGTCAAAATTAGTAGTGTCCACGGAAGACATGGAGTGATAGACAGCAGTATCTTTTTCACCCTGGATTCACTGCAGTTCCCTGCTGGTTATGTACCTCAGCGATGTGACATTGTCAACGTGGTCATAGTGGAGAGCACTCAGTCCTGCTATCTGTGGAGGGCAATTTCCATGACCCCTGTTTACGGATATTAATATCCAAACCTTTCATTCCCTGCTCATTCTTCCTTCTATGGGCAGTAAAGTTACTGATTCAGTGGAGAAGCTTTGCTTAATAAACTTAATATCTTAAATATAAAATTGTCTTATGACTATTGCTCCCTGCCCCAGGATTCCTGACCTGTGGCTCAGTAGCTCCTAGTTCTCTTGGGAGAAAGAGCCAGCTATAGGGAAGTACCTTAATAATTCTAAAGCCTGTTAAAGCTGCCTCTGCATTGTAAGAAATAATGCCGTCACTCAACTACGTTCCTTTTTTCCACTCGAGTAGACTATGCTGGCAGAGACTAAAGGCTCTGAAGTAACCTGAAGGGTTGAAAGATTTAAGAGGTAGCAGGGCCAGCATGGTAATAGTGCCAAAACCCCACAAGCACACTCTGAAACTGTGTGCTTTCTCTTACCCAGGCAACAATCGCTTAGGGGAAAGGTTATTTTAAAACTTCCCAGCGTAACTGGGAAGGGGCTTCAAGCTCACCTCCAGTTCTGGGATTCATAAACATCCTGGACCTTGAATAAACATACTTTAGTCCAGAGTTTGTTTTACAGGTCATAGGGGACCTGGCACCCGCCCTGTAGTTAACGCTTCCCTTCATAATAAAGGAACATAGCAGGAGCAAATACGTTGTACATTTTAAGCCGCTGCTCCTTGGTGTGTTCTAGTCTTAACAGATTCAACGTCATACAGATATCATGTACCAGGTACCATTCTAGCTGCTAGAGTTAAAGCAAAAGGACAAAGTTCCAGACCATAATGGAGCACGGCTTCTGTTACTGCTGCCTGCTCCAGGGTTCCTGACCCATGCGTCAGTACCTCCTGGCAGAAACAGCCTAGGACAGGCCTATGGCATGTCTGGATCCCTGTGAGAGTTCACACGAAGCATAGCACACCCTGCGGGAATCACAGAGGAGGCTGCTGTTGGATACAAGAGATGTATAGGTCATGGAGTTCCTCCTCATTAATTCTGCAATGTGGCTGGGGTGGACAAGAGTTTTCTGAAGGCAACAGCACAACGTCAACCCCCTCAGGCGTGAGTTGAGTCGCAAATGCTGCTGGCAGACATCCTCCCTGGATTGCAGGTGTCACTTCAGCAGTGGGGCTGCCTCGGTATGGACATGATACATGTTCTTCAAGTTTTTACATAGTGAACTTCTGAATCTATTTACTTTTGTAGTGCAGGTCCCACACACATTGAGAGTTTTGCCTTTAGGGATATGTCAACTCTTGAGAATCTTGGCCAAAATTCAGAAGGCATGGTCCTTGGTCATCTCAGCGTTTGCAGGCCCCACACTGAATTATCTTAACAGATGTCATTCTGGAGGTTGGACTGGGGAGCAAGAAGTAGCACACCTTGTTAGGATCACATTTTCTTAGATTGGAAGTACATGTATGAAAATACAGGGACCTTCATGTCACAGAGATATATGTGCATCCATGTTCATAGCAGCACAATTTGTAAAAGCTAATCGTGGAAACAACCAAAATGCCTATCAACTGCAGAGTGGTTGAAAATTGTGGTATTTTTATACAATGGAATACTACTCAGCTATAAAAAAGGATGATCTTGAGACCTTTATAAGTAAATGGAGGCAACTTGAGAATATCCTCATTAGTAAATTAATGGTAAATTAGTAAATATCACATTGTCTCTCTAGTGTAAAAAATAATAACTGACAGAATAATAGGATCCAAAAAGTATCATAGATATTGTAAAAGTGAAAGGGAAGGAAAGTGCTCTAAAAGATATAACGGTATGTATAGTGTGTAAGATAGATGACCATATTACTGAATTTCTGTTGGATCATTGAACAGAAGAGTTTGCACGGTCAATGTTTGAGTGTCCAGTCACTTTTTGTGCTTTGATTTTGTGACTATGGCAACTATTTTTAAGATGACAATGTGTAATGTAGCAACTAGCGATTTTATGATGTTAATTTTTTTGAATTTTGTATTCTATCTTTTTCTGTTTTTCAAATTTTCTTTCTTTGAAAAAAAAAGATAACAATACGCAATATAACAACCATTGTTAAATTTCTTTCATTCTGTTTTTTTTTCCTTTATTCTGTTTTGAAAACCTATATGTTATTGTTTTGAGTTTGTTTTTGTTTTGTTTTGTTTTGGGTTATTATTTTGAGTTTGGTTTTGTTTATCTCTTTTGCTTTTTGTTTTTCTTTTCTGACTTCTTTTTTTTTTAAAATAAAAAAATGAAAAGAAAATATAGGGACCTCGCATCCCAAGATAAGTACTGGTTTCAAGGGTGGGTTAGGTCTTGCAGGAAAGACTGGATTAGTTCCTGAGAGAATGGATTTTTGCACAAGGGAGCATCCGGGCACTTGGGTCTCTCATGATCTTTTTGGACCCATGACCTCTCCCTTTTTCCATTCCCTTTCTCTCTTTCTCCCTTCTTCCCTCTACCGCACATGCTCCTGCTATGGGATACTATCTGCTATGAGCCCTCACCAGAAAGTGATGCTGGAACCATGGTTTTGGGCCTTGAGAACTGCGAATAAAATTAGCCAGGCTCACATCCTTCCTTCAGCACACATGTGACCTTGGGCAAGTAACTTTACGTTTTGAGCCTCAGTCACCTCATCTCCTAAAAGAACGATAGCATGAGTTTCTGTTTCAGAGCCCTCCTGAGTTTTGCATTACTTAGTCTATGTAGTGTGCTTAGAGCAGTAACAAAAATTGACTGCCGATCAATTTTCCCATTGCTGAGACAAAGTGTCTGATGCTGCAGATTCAAGGAGAAGAGGTTTAATTTGGTTCACTTGTTCAGAGGCTTTAGGTTGTGGTGGGTTGGATCCAAGGCAATGCATCAAGGAGAACAGTGTGGTCAGAGCCAAGCCTCTCAGTGAGGTGGCCAGGACGCAGCAGGCATAGGAAGAGCACCAGGGAGAGATGTACTCCCAAAAAGCCAGCCCCCAGTGACTCACCCCTACCAGCACATTCAGTGGTGAGCACCAGTGAGTGAGTCCACTGACAAGTACAGTGCCCCCAAGACTCAATGCCCCCTTGGCAGTCTGTCTTTCCAGTCCGCTGACAGTTTAGCTCACCCGAAACACTGATGCAGATGCAAAGTTCTCAATGAACAGAAAGCATTGTTTTTGTTTCTCCTTTCCCCTTAGTCACCAGTGCTTGTGGAGATTCTGAAACCATTTTTAATGAGTATTTACTTGCTCTCATTGCTTGCCTTCTTTTAGGCTTATTTGTTCTCATAGCTCACACAATCTTTAGTAATCCTACCAGCAAGATTTGATGGATAGTAAATCTCTAAGCCCTGCTGTGTATCAGGGGACGTTCACTTCACATACATTCACACACTCTCAGCTGAAAGTTTTCTTTGAGCCCTCTGACGACATTGATGCATATGGTGAATTGAGACTCAGTGTCTTTCCCAGTCTCCTAAAGCAGTGCCCTGTCAGAGTTGAAAGTCTATTTCCTGGTAGCCCAGTACTAAGAAGTTCTGGGTGTAAATTAACACAAGAAATGGTGCCCGTCTTCCTGCTTCCCTGGTTTCTTCTGCTGTCCATTGCAGTTCTACAGCCTTCGTGTTTGCCTGCTGCAGTGCTTCTGTTCTAGTCTCCACTACATGAATGTCAAAGGTTGTGCTAGTGGCCGCAGCTTTCTGCCCCTGCATCCGAGCCACAGGAGTGTGTTGTGGAAGCTGATGACTCCAGTGTGGAGTTCCTGATTTCCTTACCACCTTGACTTAGTGCAAATGCTTTCTTCATGGTTGGGGCAGTGCTTTTGTGGAATGCTGGGTGTGTTTGCAGGACCAGCCTCACCCTCACTCCTTCAGTGCTGGAAATCATTCACCAAGCACTTGGTCTGTGCCTGAGTCTAACTTGTGTATAAAACATGTACAGCACGCAGTTGCTGCTCTAGATGTTGGAGGAGGGGAGGATGAAAAGGACAAATGCTAGGGTCAAATGGAGCTGTCCTTGTACATGGGAGGAAAGGACCTACTGAACTACTCTGGGACATTCATTTACACATTTAGCAGGATAAAGGCACGTGACACCCCTTTGCCTAGCCACTCATTGTATGGATTGCCTTGGGGCTTGGTGCTCTGAGCTGGAGATGCTCCTTTGCCAGAAGTGCTCATTGTTCTCCTGCCGGCCCCTTAGGTGACATCAGTCTTCTGCTTCAGCTGCTCCCTGCAAAGCGGTTTCTGTATCCTGCAGCTAAACTCCTATTGCTGCCTTGTCTTTCGTCACTCATTATTTGGACAGTGTTTGCTGCGTAACTGGTTGTTATTCATTTGTGGAGTGCCTTGCTTTTCCTCTCCAGTGGGTATTAGGTTATTCACTTTGTCCTGAATGTTCCTCAGGTTCATAGAAATGTGTCCAGCAGTACATTTTGTGTACTTACATATTCATATTACTCACCACCTGGATTGTTTGTCACATAGCATCTGGACTCACAATGAGCACAGGGCAGCCTGGGGATTGAGAGACTTGAATACGACTCCGTTTCAACCCATGGCTCGGGCAGGCCACTTGTTTTGAAGAGCCCCCCCCAGGTAGGCAGGTCAAGGTGCCCTGGTTCGCAGTCTTTGGCAGACAACATATTTCTGCCTCCTACATCCCCACAGAATGCCTCGGTCAGCTCCCCACCACACACAGTGCCTGCCTGGGCTTGCTGACTCCCTGGCTTGTCAGACCCGTTTCCATCCCAGCCTCCAAGTGTTGCACAGCATCAGGTCCCCTTGCTGCCCTGCATGCCCACTGCTTCTGGCCCTGATGCTTTCCTGGTGCGAGTGGCTAGTGTTTTTAAGTTCCTTTACCCATCACTAGCATGTGTTTGGAAAAGTGGGTGGGGATGGAGTGGCTCAGGGTGGTGCAGAGCGAGTCCAAGCTGACATCTGACATCCATCGTGACCTGAATAAGTCATTTCCCAACAGTCAGTGATAAAAGGCATGTCTCATTCCTTTGTGAAAAAAATCCGTATAATTAGAAGGGGAAGTAGAAATGGTCAATAGAAGTATGAAAGTATTTCATTCTGATTATGGATGCAAAATAAACCATTTTAAGGTGTCAAATTGAGAGTTTTATAAGCCTGATTAAATACAGGCAAAGGGGA